GCCTGGCCTCTCGTAGCTTCCAGGTCCGCGTTGCCCCTGACGGACCTGGCAGCCCCTCGGGACCTGGTGGGTCCGTCTCCAGAAGCCAGGTCTGTGCAGGCCCAACGCCCGCGGCGGGATGAGCGTCTCCAGGCGGGGATCTGTTTCTCTGTCCCCAGTCAACCGTGTGTGAGAAGATCATGGAGCTGCTGGGACAGAATGAAGTAGACCACCGGCAGCGGAAGCTGGTCATCCTCAGTCAGGACAGTTTCTATAAGGTCCTGACTGCGGAACAGAAGGCCAAGGCCTTGAAGGGACAGTACAATTTCGACCATCCAGGTAGAGACCCTGAGAGTAGGGAGGGTGTGTGGGAGGAGGGCAGAGCAGGGAGACTGGGTCCAGGGTTGGACAGGGATACAGAGAAACCTGAGTGGTTCCGTGAAATCACCTGAATAATCCGCGCTGGAGCCGGCTGTGTGGTTAGGCCAGGAAGTCTTTCCGGAGCTCTCCGGGCCCTGGGTGATGCTGCAGGAGTTACAGGCTCCTTTGATTGGAGCCAGTCAGGATGTCTTCACCTCAGAAGGGCCTGCAGGACCACTGCTCTGCCACAACTGTGGTCGTCGAGAAATCCACTCACCTCCCTGCTATTAGTGGCCTTCTGCACAGGTCACGACCACCATGGCCTTTCAGTTCCCCACCTACCCTGGGGCAGAGGCCTCAAGAGGCCAGCAGTGGGTAAACAAGAACCAGAGGCCTTGAAGCCCTGTTTCCTGGTCTGATTAGGGGCCAGGAGAACAGGTGGAGATGGAGTGGGTCAGGCAGAAGGGCCAGCCTGTCCCTGCCTGCTGCTACTGGGAGATTCCACTCTGTGGCTGGCTCCCATCTTCATTCCTTTCCAGGGGACACATGGAAGGCGGCCTGAGAAGCAGACGCCTGGCTCACCTGCCTCCCAGGGCTGGCCGATTAGGAGATCCCTGTGTTCAAACTTCTGGGTGGGACAGTAACCTGAGCAGTGGCAATGCCTGAGGGCAGCAAGGACAGATCCATCCTGGGATTTAGATCCTGCAAACATAAACTAGAGGCAGCTCCTCGTCCAAATGTTTCTTAGGGTCGTTGGTAGTACCTGCACCCAGCTGTGCTGACCCCAAGGCAGGGCAAGTTCCCTCCTGTCCCCAGCACAAGGACACTGGGCTCATCTTGTTCCCTCCCTGCAGATGCTTTTGATAACGATTTGATGCACAGGACTCTGAAAAACATTGTGGAAGGCAAAACTGTCGAGGTCCCAACCTATGATTTTGTGACCCACTCAAGGTAAGCAAGTGGTTCCTGGGAGGAGAGGGCTGTGTGCTGGGGGCTGGTGAGGACAACCCCCCTGGGACCCCACAGTGGGCCCCGCCCTGCTGGTTCTGGGGACACCCTTCTCCCACACTGGGATCTGTGCTCACCACAGAGTCAGTGCCTGGGGACTGAAGCTGACTGCAGGCTCCCTACCTGCTCTCGCCTCGCAGGTTAGCGGAGACCACAGTGGTCTACCCTGCAGACGTGGTCCTGTTTGAGGGCATCTTGGTGTTCTACAGCCAGGAGATCCGGGACATGTTCCACCTGCGCCTCTTTGTGGACACTGACTCCGATGTCAGGCTGTCAAGAAGAGGTAAGGTGAACTCGGGCCTCCCTGCCTCCATTCTGGCCAGCTGCGAGGCCCGAGGTCTGAAGGCCCCCGCCTTGTTCCTGTGGCTGCAGTTCTTCGGGACGTGCACCGTGGCCGGGACCTGGAGCAGATTCTGACGCAGTACACCACCTTCGTCAAGCCAGCCTTCGAGGAGTTCTGCCTCCCGGTACTGCCTTTCGCTTACTTGGGAACCTCCTCCCCTCTCCCTTTTCAGAAGGACCCACAGTGCCCTGTTCTCTGAGAGCTGAGTTGTGCTGTATAAATGGGGTCTGCTGTATAAATGGAGAAATTAGCTTATTGTAGCTAAGTTCACAGGGAGCAGGTCTTAGCTATGAATGTGTTCTCTGTTCTTTCCACCCTCGCTGCCTCAAAGAGCCCAGGTCCCCGTCTTCCTGCCGCCAGCATCCCCCCTGCCCCAGGCCTTCCCCCACAACACCTGCCATTTCCCGGGGCCCTGCCTGTCAGCTGACACACACCGTGCGCTCCCCTATCCCTGCTTAGGATGGCAGGCTCCACGAGGGTAGGGGTTTTTGTCTGTTCACTGCCAAAATGGTGTCTGGCACATAGTAGGTGCTTAATAACTTCACCCATGCCAGGTGTGTCTCTGGGCTGCCCTTGGCCGGCACTGGAAGGTCCAGCGGCTTGCAGAGAGGAGGGACTCACTGTGTGTGGCCACCTGTCTCTTCCTCCATCTTACACTTCTCACTGGATAGGACTGGTGGAGGGATTTAAAGGGAAATTTAACAATATTTTGCTGCTGCTTTTTTTTGGTTGTTAATATTTTGCTTCTTAAATGTAAAAATACAGCACAAAGGAACGGGCAGCAGACAAGTAGGACAGAGCTACACTGATGGCCGATGAGTTTCTGGACTGTTGTAGTCTCTCATTCATAGAAAGACACTTCGCGAAGTCGGTAGCTGATGGTAAAACTTTGGACACCACGTGTGACTGGGGGCCCCCGCGTGGAGGCAGGACCATTCTCAGCCTGAGCCTCCCTCTCCCCGCAACCCGTTACATGTAGCCACACACTGAGTCCAGCTAACCTGGTCATGCCCCCCCCCGACCCTGCCCACCATCCCCACAGTGAAGCCCTTTCTCAGCTTTTTGCTGGGCTGCACTTCTGCACCCTCAGCCCACCGTCTGCGCCCCCCCGAGAGGCCGCCTGGTAGAAGGCAGCCCTGGTCCTCCTGTGCTCACGTCTTTAGAGGGTGTCTGCTGCCTGCAGACGCGGCGGCCCCAAGACTCGGTCCCACCTGCCCCCGGGGGCTCTTCTCTTGTGACGGGCCTCGTTGCCCCAGATCCACACGCCAGCGACACTTGGTGGTGTGCGGTCTGTCTCTTGGCTCAGACCGTTTTCTGCCTCGCCTCCCTCTGTTGATTCAGATGCAGCCCCCTCAGCAGCATCTGGTTGGGGTCCCTCCGATGGCCCTGCACCCCCTGGTGTCTGTCCCTGGTCACTCCGCAGAGCACTGGGCAGGGAGTGAGTTACCGGCGTGGGAGCAGGTGAGGGCGCTGGCGGAAGGGCGCAGGCTCTGCGGACATCCTCGCCTGCAGTGCAGCCCTGTTGTCACCGGGGTGAGAACGCTGCACCTGCCCCGCTTGCTCCTCCGGCTTCTTGTCAAGGTCCCAGACTCCAGCGGAGGAAGGCCCCGTGTAGGGGCAGGGC